TCAACTATACACCGAATCTTTACATGAATATTTTTTGCAGAGATTTGTCAGGCTATGTATGCATGTGATTAGATACAGTTCTCAGAAAGAATTACTTGAATGTTTAAAATAAATATACATTGTAAGTTCTAACCTTTTGTCAGATTTTTTTTTGGACAGCTTTACAATATAAAGAACAATTCGCTGTAACTACGAAAACTTTTTTAGTAAAATACTCACCATATTTCAACTTAAAATATGTAAAAGGTAATTAAAAAAAAAAAAAAAAAAAAAAAAAAAAAAAAAAAAAAACAAGATGTATTTGTGAAACACTGATGCCACCGTATGGCAGCTTATGGCGAGGGTTGAAATTTCTCTAATGCAACTTAAAATCCAAGGTCAGGGTTAAAATTGTTGGTACCCAAAGGAATGTCTTCTCACAAGGAATACACCATAGCCCCACCAACTCAAAAGTTATGGACAAGGTTAAAGTTTTTGCGGATAAACAGACAAACAGACGTACGGACAGGGCAAAAACTACATACCCCCGGATCTTCGGCAGAAAAAAGCATCGCTACATAAAAAATTCCTATTCAACATCGTGACCATTTGACTTGAACTTTAACCTACTTTTTCAAAATTTTTCATAGTGCTGATTTACAACACTTTTTTCGAAAAGAGGTACATGAAAGTTTATGCTAGGCCTATATAGCATGTAAGCTGTTTATCATAAAACACCCTGAAAAATTCAGCTTAACCGACTGATTGACCTTGACATGTTTATGAACTCATGACACTTCATGAAAAGTGTATGATATAAAATTACCAACAAACTGCTACACAATGAAAATATATCGAGATTGATAATCCACAATGGATCGTGAAATCTGATAAATGCATTAAAAACAAACTGAAATCTTTTTTTGAGCATTGTTGGAAACACGTATTAATTGTATGATTTACGTTCTGTTCGAGGACTTTTTTCATTCAAATAGAGACATTGCCTTATATCGGTTGATAGGCCTCAAATTTACTAACGCATAAATTAAAAATGATTATTAATTATTTCTAATAGTTTCAATTTCATAACTCGTTTGAGAGCTTGGGACCAAAATTTTGTCTTTGATTGTTAATTTCCATCTTTGTCTTCTTCTATTCGTTGACCTCTCTTTTTCTTTGCAGACGAATGCATAAATTATATTGATACAGGTGTAGTAGCAAATAAATTGATGACCAGTCCTAGATTTATTTACGTCTTTAATATATTAATGAAGCTACAAGGCCGGCGACACATGCATTCTTTGGAACATTCTAGTTTTCATGTATTATAAAAAGACTAGCGAATCAGAAGTGTGTTAAGTGTCACATAAATGTATTTTAAACACCTTGTGTAACATGCATGTAGGTAGAAAAGAAAATGCGGAATATACGTGTATTAGTGCATTATAACAACCACAGAGCTAAACTAGCCTATGCTTAAAGTATTGAAACATTGCTTTTTATACATTTAGTTACCTTCAAATGAAAAAAAAAAAAAACAAATATTACTTTAATTTCCTGAACAATGTTATAATTGTATTTCCTTTTCTATGTTGCAATTACAAAAGTAGACATTGTTTGCCCGATAGGAGCGTAATGTACTGAAATAATTAACATAGCGAATTTGGAAAAAATATGTAACTACATGCAAACATGTATAAGTGCTAGGGCTTCTCTATGAAAGGAAGTATCATTCCCAAGATTCTCTCTTTCAGAGTTTATTATTGACTTAGTGTTCCTTGGAATATTCTTTCCAATGCAGAAATATCAAACCAAGATAGAGTTAGGAAAATAAGATTTAAATAAATTACCTTGAAGATAGAAAAAAAGAATACAAATTTATATTTGTTATGGCAATGAAGATGTCTTTTAAGTGTTATATGTTCATTCCATGAATCAATCAATATTTAGGTTATGCTTTCGGTTATGTCTTGAATACTGCATACCCCCCCCCCCCCCCCTTATCCATTGTGTTTCGTTATTGACAGACCTGTTTTTGCAATGATGAAATATATGGAGATAACGAACAGTTTTCAAGCTCAAAAGTCCTTAAAGAAATACAAATTTGGAGCAGAGCAATCACGGACCTCCAAAATATCAGAGGTGGGATCAGGTGCTATGGAGGAGTGAGCATCTCCTACTGACCGGTCACACCCGCCGTATGCTCCCTGTCATGATCGAGAAATAATGGAAAAAGTAGTGCAACAGGATTTATTAAAAATCTTATATATCAGATGAAGAAAAAACTTGCTGTGGCTTTCAGCTCGACATTTAGATATCAGGGATTTATCAGCACCTTCTCAGGGGCCGAAATTCGGCCCCATTCCCAATTGAAAATGAGTTCAGTTTTTCCCAATTTGGCAGTATTTTTTCCCAATTGATGACAATACTTTAACACTTCGTTATCTTTGAAAAAACAAAGAGTAAAATTGTCAGATTGTCTGTAATTTTCATCTATATAACTCATTTAGCAAAGCTACAGTCATAACACATGTTTAAAAACACTGTAAAAACATCGCCAACTTTTAATCCGAATTTCCTCTGTTTTTCTGAAAAAGGTGATATTGTGTAATTGAATAGATTTATTAAGTTATTTCCACCTACTCAATTGATCTACGAGTGAATGGTAAGGACTGTAGGCATTATTTCAGATAGAAAAATATATTTTCAATGTTTTAATACATATTAAAAGAGGACTTTGAGAAAATGTGTACTTAGTACAATTTTTTGCAGGAGGTTTATAATCTCCAGAAACATATTCTATAATGACCTAAGTTGGAATCTCATACACACATGTACTACCCTAAGTTGTATAGGTAAATACTTTATACTCATTGAAGTCAATTTTACTTTTATTAGTCTATTATTCATAATTGATCTTGTTTGATGAAGTTGGATCAGTTAGGATTTAATTGTCTGTTTGGTTTCCCAAATTAGAGTTCCTGCTAAAATGTTAAATAAATTACACCTGAATACATGATTTAAGCGATATTTTAAAATTTTTCCCAATTTCATAAAAAAGCCGATAATTTTTCCCAATTCCCCAAAAATGGCGTTTCCCAAAATAGGCTGATAAATCCCTGCTATCATATCAACGACGAATTATCAATTAACAATAGTTACTTCCATTCATATGTCGACTTGATATCTCTCAGAGAGCTTAAATTAAAAATACCACGAAGTCTGACACATTCTGTTCTACATTTGGATATTTTACTAGAAAAATACCTTAACGGTAATCCAACAATGTTGCTTAATGTCGACGCAAAATGTAATAATCCTAAAGATTCTGCTATTACATTTTGCGTCGAGATTAACGCGAAATGTAATAACGCAAAATGTAATAATCCAAAAATTGTATTATAACATTTTGCGGTATTACATTTTGCGTTGATATCGACGCAAAATGTAATAACGCAAAATGTAATCATCCAAAAAATGTATTATTACATTTTGCGTTATTACATTTTGCGTTGATCTCGACGCAAAATGTAATAACGCAAAATGTAATAATCCCAGTTTATTACATTTCGCGTTGTTATTACATTTCGCGTTGTAACGCATACGTTATATTAGATTTCACTATCTTCGATATCTGCACTGGGGTATACCCTTCACATTCGTTACATTTAACTGCTTTATTTTCACGGGTCCCGGCGTGGAATGGACGACGCATGTTCGTGTTCGTTATCTTACATTACCTTTGTTTGCATTTTAAAGCAGTTGACGTGTATTTGCGGTTGTTTGTATACTGCACTGACCTGTGCAATAGTTGTAAGTTTTCTTTCTTTTCTGCCTAGCTGCAGAACTGTAGCTTTATGGTTATATATTTTAGTCTTTGACCATAACGCTACAGATCCCATAATGTAAACTAAGTGCGATTTTCTGCGCACTTTAGGGATGTATTTCGCCTTTTCCAGCATTGGCCAATAAAAGACCTTTCATCCCCAAACTCTAGACATATTCTATAACCAACCTGTATATTTTATCCAGCTCCTAACCCTTTATAGTCGTCTCTACTGACCAATAACCTCGCTTGTGTGATTTGTTGTCGGATGGCATAACGAGTTTGTTGGTCTGTAGAGGTTAGGAGATGGATAAAATATACAGGTTGGGTAAGGAATATGTCTAGAATTAGGGGATGAAAGGTCGTTGATTGACCAATGCTTGGAAAGTGGCGAAATACACCCCTAAAGTGCGCAGAAAATCTTGCGCCGTAAATTGAACTCTATTTACTTTACAGGATCTGTAGCGTTATGGTCAAAGGCAAAAAAAAATATAAAACCAAAACGCTACAGTACTGTAGCTATTTTCTGTCGTGAAAGAAATAAACAGTTATTTTTGTCGCTACCGAGTGTTTTACAACAGCTATGTAGCATACGTCTGTCTACACAGGTGACAATGCTATGTATAAGGGCCCTCAGATATAACGATTGAATAAAAAACTATGACGGACAAATTCCTTTTACGAATCGTGTTCTCCATTCCACGCAAGTACCCGTGACAAGAAAGCATTCAGGTGTAAAGAATGCGAATACCTCAGTGCGGATGCCTATTTACGAGTCGTGTTCAACTTTAACAGTAAAAGCAATAAAAAAGAAATTCTTTCAGAATTAAGATTTGATCTGAGCCTGAATAGTAAGAGATTTGTTAGTTCATCCATCCAAGCTGATAATTGGGAGGTTGCAAGGCAAAGTTCTTTACCAATATATCCATGGTAACCATGAACAATTTTTTTTTTTCATTTTGCACACATGCTACATTGTATATACTGCAAGAGAAAAATATGTATAGAAAATCATCAAATTCCGAGAAACCTCATATATCACCTTTTGCATGATTTTTACATGGACCTGTACTTAATGTCTAGTTCTGGGTAGAGCAGAGTTGACATACCAAGAGAAACTTATAATACTCATATGAACCTCTTGTTCCAATGCAGTTTCCTTATTTTTAATTGACTTTCAATATTTTTTTATCAGGGTGTAGATTTGCAGAAAACTGTGGAAGCTGGATGCTTTATTTCAAAAGTGCTAGGACGCAGTACTCAGTCTAAAGTTGGACAAGCAATGAAGTCATCTTTATAAAAAGAGTAATAACATTTGATAATTTTCTTTGAGACTTTGTTCAGTTACACTTAGGGGATTCATCATCTGACTTGCTACTTACATGTAAAGAAGAATATAATGCAACATAAAGTCAAAGAATTATTTTCAACAGAGTATCGTGTCCTTAATTCTTCCAGTTAGTGTAAATGTATAACTAGGAAATCACATTTTTTCGTGAGGTCAAATTTTCGAGGTTTGAGAAAAAAAAGTATTGGTTGGGGGTGATTTGATTTCGTGGTTTCGGAAGTGTTGAGTAGTTATGTATATGAAATTTTACATATCGTGAAAGACATGAATTCGTGGTTCTTTCCACGCCTCAAAAACAACGAAAATTAAACCCCCACGAAAAAAAGTGATTTTACGGTATATCTTCAGCGTGTACAATATTTGATGATAATTTATTTTCGAGCAAGTTAGCTTAAATCAATTTTGTGCATTTCTGGATTATCAATAAATAAATGATATATAAAGACATATAGCTATGTATTTGATGTAACGAATGCTGCTTTCCAAATATAATACACTAAATACCTGTGAACATGGCTACAGGATGTCTTTTGGCAAAAAAAAAAACCGAAGGATTTTTAAGCAAGCACTGTATTGAGAGATGGAATAATCCTTCGGACTATATCAGACCAGTAGGAACAGTAACCCTACCCCCTTCGATATTGCTACTTTATGATTTTGTCCCATAGTTCTTTTCAAGGCATGTTTAGTTGGTTGTTTCCCTCCTAACCGATTTTGCCCCCCCCCCTTTCCCCGAACTTGCTTCCCGTGCATTCATACTTGTAGGTAAGATTTAGATATCATTTATAACTTCATTATTATGTTCCCCAAACGAAGTTTGGGAACAAATTGTTTTTACTCTGTTTCTTCTTCTTCTTCTTATTAAGGTCTTCTGTCTTCACGGAAGACCTTATAGTGATTCTACTATTTCTTATTAAAGTCTTCCTTCTCCACGGAAGACCTTATAGTGATTCTATTGTTTCTTATTAAGGTCTTTCGTCTCCAAGGAAGACCTTATAGTGATTCTATTATTTCTTATTATGATTATTAAGGTCTTTCGACTTCCTTCGAAAGACCTTATTGTTTTCCTTCTGTTTTCTATTACTAAGGTCTTCCATCTTCACGGAAGACCTTATTATAGTGATTCTATTGTTTCTTATTATTAAGGTCTTCCGTCTTCACGGAAGACCTTATAGTGATTCTACTGTTTCTTATTAAGGTCTTCCATCTCAACGGAAGACCTTCTTATTATTCTGTTGTTTCTTTTCAACTTTATTAAGGTCTTCCGTCTTCAGCGGAAGACCTTCTTGTTATTCTTCGGTTTCTTTTCCACTGTTTTTCTTATTATTTTTTTTCTTACCGATTTTGTGCACGCAATTTCTCGAAAACGGTTCGCTCCATTTTTATGAAACTTTCAGGGCTGATAGAACATTAAAAAATCGTGATACATATTTTTTTATTTTGATGACGTCACTTCCGGTCCGAAGATTTTTGCGATTTAGTGATTTTTGGAGGGTCAGTTTGTCCGCAGGTTTTCTAAGAAAGCACTAATCATAGGAACGTGAAACTTTTAGGGAAGACAGAGCAATATATGTAGATCTGTAATACGTAGTTAACTTTCACCGGAAGTGCCACACGTCCACGCTCGCTATGGCCTGAAAAAAGTCGTATCGAAAGTTTCAAAATTTCGAACACTTTCTGTACGATATCTTTTTACTTAGAAATATTTTGTTAAAACATATATTACAAAATTTGTGCAGAGTTATAAGATCTTTTAAATGATATCTCGAAAAAAGGGCTGGCCCCTAAAATAAGGAATCTAAAGGGGTCAAAATATTTTTCCTGATATCTCAAAAAGTATTTAGAATTTGTAATACTTCAAAGAAGCAAAGTTGTTCAACATGACAAGTAGCAGCTTGCGAGATCATCAAAATGCGTCGAATGACGTCACTTCCGGCCAAACAGGAAGTAGTAGAAAAAAAGCTTATTTTCACAGATATTGGTACAGTGCTGCTATCCCACAAGTTGACATGGGATGGGATTGGATAGGATTCAGGATTGAGGATTCACGATAGAAAGATATAGTAGTTAATCCAACCCTATCCTATCCTGTATCCTACAGCCTTCAGATTGGAGTAAATGTTAATTCATATTTCAAAATAAATTACAGAAACGCAAAAGGACATAGAACGTTTACAAAAGAAATATTTATAAAATCACAAAAGAAAATAAACATTTTTTTTTCTTAACACATATTTATTCAATTACTTTCGAGTAATATGGCGTACGATCTAACCGTGAACGATCACCGGAAGAAGTTTCGCATGTAAACAAAGCAGAGATCGGACATCAAAAGATCGTATTTCTTCAGCATGTTTGGATGATTAACTCGATTCCTACCCGTGTTACAGTTCAAATAACATGTTTCTCTGTTAAACGTGCTCTGTTTGTCTGGATAATTCCACTTGAACCGTCAGCGGCGGACTATAACAGATCATAATCGCAGTTGTTTGGTGCAAGACCATGTAAGTATACTACACACTGTAAATGTGTGCATGTTTATACATATCTCTCCCTTTAGGCAATGTTTTAATGACTTGAACTATTAAAATTTTATTCTATTGTAATATACACAGAAATCGGATGCGGAAAAAAGAGGTTGTGTAGAAAGGGGACGGGTAGGGGGGTTAAATACTTTGTCACATGATCAGATGTATTACACCTTTTTTCAGTTTGTTATTGCTATAAAATCATTTCCCTACTGTGGTTAAAAAATATTTTTTCTTATCTGATTGCAATTTAGAATAATTAATGCAGAATCATCATGATCATTTCTTATGCTACTGTCAGGTCTGGTACAATCACTAGATTTAGCTATGTAGCTTGAATTACCTACATAGCTTTATTTACCTACCTGAAGTAGCTTTATTTAGCTACTAAATCAAACTTATTTCTTAAATAAGAATTTTTCCCAGAAAGTGCAGAAAATTGCACTTTGATGCAGTGATAATTTTAAACTTTGAACTCATCTGAAAACAATTCCTGAAAAAATCACTCTTGGAGATGTGTCTTTTTTTGCACAATTGCAATCAAAGTTCTAAAAGTTTTGGGGCTATATACAACAGTTAATTTGTGACCTAACAGTTACTTCTTGAGTGTAATAACAAAGAAAACCAGTTTTGGTTAACATGAGCACAATGTGAAGTAATCATACTTATCCAGCCTCATTGTGCACAAGGAGTGTACAGTTACTCAAACAATGGGAATACATATTTTCCTTAAAGTGATAAAACGCAGCAATGTTAAAACTATCTCTGCTTTAGATTGCTTTTTAAATGATACCTAGAATAAATATTAGTTGATATTTTCTTGCGACTTTTTGTCTTTTTAAAATAAAAAGCAAAATTGTGAAAAGTTGCCTTGAAATAGCTAAATAAAGCTACCTGAGGTAGGTAAATAAAGCTACGGTAAGTAATTTTAGCTACGTAGCTAAATGTACTGATTGTACTGGACCTGACTGTGTATAATAAGCTCACTCAGCACTTGCATGTACATTGTATGTATGACCTATTGTGAGTTGAACATAAAACATGTAACATAAATTAATCATTTATTATTCTTCTTCATTCTAGAGAATGGTACCCAGTTTTGCCTGCCCTCATCAGTCATCACAATATAAAGGATTTTACATTTAGAAGTAGGTATGATTAGATTATTTTTCTTTGTGTGTTTATGTGTGTATCATTAAAATACATATAAATCATTATCTAAGTTGAGATGAAGTGTCTGCAGATTTTATGAATAAGTGATTTTCTTCTTTTTAAAATGTTGACAGTAAAACTGAAATTAAAATATAATTGTTCTGGTCATCATGGTCATGTTGTATGTGTTTTCTTTTTTTTATATTCAAATTTTGAGCAAAAATGAAAAGAAATTAACAAACAACATATTTAATAGATTAATACAAGCAGAAAATAGAGAGGAAAAAAACATCCAAACATGTACTCATACTAGTTAGCAAGTCGATGAGATGAAATGAATTATAATCTACAAGTAAATTATGTAAGTTATGATTGTTTAATTAAGATATGAGTTACGACTATGAAGTTGCAGTATAAGATTTGATTTTGCTTGATTTCTTTAAAATTAATGCATTACTCTGGGAGAGAAAAAGGTGAAATTAATTAAAGACAATTGTACTTGAAATGAGAAAGATAATCACAATCAAATACAGTTTTAATGTATAATGTATATGACAAAATTTACAATCTACATGCATATAATGGTGTGTGTTTTTTTCTTCAGGACAATCCTGCAAATTTGCAGCTGTAGAAATTGCACTTCATCTCATCTGCTGCTGGAATAAATAATGAGAGATTTTCAAACCAGTGTCCAAGAGCCCTCTAGAGTCTGAAATGAAGGTGTTCTTTATTAAGGAGATCAGTGTGTGATGTATTTGTTTTCTGTGCATTGACGACATTTGTGAAACTTATGGTTACTTTATGACCATCTCTCTGACAACTACTTTGACATTTGAAATTCAATTTGAGCAACGGACAAGTAGACCAAATAATATGTATGTAAAACATTATACAATTGTAATAAGACATTGATAAACTTCAATTTAAACAAACTAGATGTACATGTATCTTTGAGCTTGGCATTGAAATACATGTATACTTTACATGAACACTTTTAATGAATTTGTCTCTTGATAATGAACATTCAATTGTTATACATTGTAAATATAAATTGTAGATAATATGTATTTGGTCCAATATATATAATTATATTTATATTCACTGAAAACAGGAATTACCCTGAATAAATATTGTGAACTTGTTTAATTATTTTTATTCCTCATTTAGACACTGAATAACATTCAAGATCAAATGTCAAGGTCAAAAACAAGATTTACTTAAATTTGGGTTACAAATACTGTAACAACTGTGGACTCTTATGCATGTTTTATAAGATCTAAGGAATATGTGTGAGCTGACTACAAAAATTATTGCTGTCACCCTGTCTGACTATGAAGATTTAGGAAAATGTTTTCTGTTAAACATAAATTGATTAAATTCTCACACATAAATATTTTTTTTTTTTAATTAAGATACACTTGTACGGCACTGAACTGACCATAAATTGAGAACAAACTGAAGCGAAATAAGAAATTTTAACATTTTGAATATCTTGATTTTTATTTAGCAAACATGATGAAAATGTTGCATGTTTGTAAAATATTCACATACAAACAAATGATGAACTGAACATTTCAAACAAGAATAACTTTAATAACAAATATAAAACAAATTTTTATCATACATTTAAAATTGAATATAATAAGACAATTTAACTTATTTAATAAATGAAAGTCAACATATTCTAGATCTAAATTTTGACTTGTCTGTTCTCGGTTTATGGTCTTGTCATATCTTGAAGTTCTTATTTAGATTTACGTCAAAAGT